TAGATAGATAGATAGATAGATAGATAGATAGATAGATAGATAGATAGATAGAGTGATATATTATTTTGGATGAGCACCCTTGTTGGTTATGTTTTGTATATGTCTTTCTGTGTTGTTTGTTCCTACCTTTTTCATTGTTTATTGTATATTGCTTTTTTAATCTTGTTTTGATATACTGTGATCTGTCAAGAGTTGGTCTGGAGTTGGGTGGTGGTGAAATCAAATAAATAAATTTATTTTAAGCCTAAATGGTTGCTTATAAACCCAACTCCTCCTGTAGCAAGTATTCATCAGTATTGACACTGTTGTATATCCTATCATAATTCAACTACAATGTTTACTTTTGAAAAAATTCAGTATGTAGTTAAACAAAGAATTATTGAAATAAAGAATATGAAGCACTTGGATTGGTCTCAGTTACATATCTAAATGTTAGTTATCAATACTGTGGATGTGGATCCAATATTTAATATACTCTTTCTGTGTTCCTCACAAAACTGTAGGGATTAATGCCTGTTCACATAATCTAAGTATGTTGTGGAATCTCATAACTTTTGAGAAAAACATATAGAATGGATGATGTACCAATTAAGAAATACAAAAGTATTTATGATCTGTCAGCATAAGTATTCTATCTTCTTAAGTGGAAGATGAATTACTGGCAAGAAACAATGGAATCTTTAGGGCCTAGTAAACTTCATTTATCTTGGTTTTTGTATTTTGCATTTAAATATATGCATATCATCTATGTTTCTGGCAGTTATAAAACTGCTTCTCTAACAAATCAATCTGTATTTAGAATGATATTGATCATTTATTAACAAAACAGCAGAATAGGCAATATTGGGTATATTTTCATGAGTTAAAATTCTTTAACAAGAGATATAAGCAAACAACAAGCCATTGCCCATTTAAATCCAACGATATTATAGAGGTGATTTATTTATAGTATTTTAAACTACATAAAAATAAACATACTATGGATTGATTACATAGTAAAAACATAAAATTCTACAGCAATCAGGATGTGAAACAGAATATAAATTGTACAAATATAGTCACTTTAACACAGGACGTTACAATTCTTTATAAAATATAGGACTGAAATTCTAGATTTACAGTGGTACCTCGGGTTACAAACGCCTCTGCTTACGAACTTTTCGGGTTGCGACCAGCTCCGGCTGCAACAATTTACCTCGGTTTGCGAACTCGGCCTCGGGGTATGAACCGGATCCGCGGCCATTTTCCGCCGTGACACGTGGTCCGCGGCCATTTTCCGCCTGTGCCACGTGGTCCGCGGCCATTTTTCCGCCCGTGCCATGTGATCCGCGGCCGTTTTTCCACCCTGCCGCACGGTCCACGGCCATTTTTCCACCCTGCCACGTGGTCCGCGGCTGTTTTTCTGCCCTACTGCGCAGTCCGCGGCCATTTTTCCGCCCTGCCGCGTGGTCCGCAGCCGTTTTTCTGCCCTTGACGCGTGGTCCGTGGACGCCGAAAG